CTCCTATAATTAATAATTAAGGCATTTTCAATTATACAATATTTGTTTCCAAAATCCGGGTCAATGACCACATGAGAAAGACCCTTTTTTATCTTATCAAGTTATTCCTTGCGACCGGTTATATTATTGAAATTATTTTGCTATAGTTTATATATGTATACACATATACAACGTTTGTGTAAAATATTGGACTTAGAAAAAAAAATACAAAAATATTTAATAGCGTTTCTTTACTTTAGTGGAAATCATATTTTAAATCTCATTATAAATATAAATGTTTTTATCTCGTAAGCCGAGGCTTCAGGCTTGTTTGTTTTTCTAACTAAAGATTTCAAATATTTAAGTCGATTCTTTTTTATCTTATGTTTTTATACATTTTCCTTAGAATTTTAAAGTTAAAATACTTTTCTTTATCTGTTCGAATTCATTTACATAAAGGGTAAAAAACCTTCTTTTTTCCGGCGCAGTTCAGGCTTTGAAAAGGTTACGAATAAAAGATAACATTTATTCTTAAATCAACAATGACCTTTTTTGTCAAATCGATTCACCTGACCTATATTTCAACTTACATTTTTTAAAAATTTATTTAATCCAAAGACGTAATATATTTTCAAAAGCTTTACTGAGTTTATATTCATATACTCATTTATTATTGGCAGACTATAAGAGTAGAGATAAAATATTTGGTTTTTTATCTCGATTAACTGTGCTTGTTAACTGATTTCCTATTTCTATATCTATATCTATATATAATTATTTTCTTTTACTAATAATTTATTTATTCTTTGGATTTCAAAAAAGAAATATCCCAAAAATTATATCGTTTGCGTTGACAAAATATTAACAGATCAGTAATTGTGACTAAACTAAATATATTTAATTACATAGTATTTTATATAAATTGTATAATATATATAATGCCGTAAAGGTTAATGGAGAGTGACGAAAAAATTATGCACTATAAGCAGATTCATTGATGCCACAATCCGGAAAGACCTGCTAAGCCATCGATTATTTAATCTATGAATTGATGAATCCAACAAGATGAATCTATCGATGGGTTTAGGAACGGTCTGCAATAATAATACGGATTTAACGATTGTTATAGTGTTAAATAATAAAATTATAACTATCGCTATTTGAGCTGAAATTTGTTTAAGCTGGCTGGCGATTGAAAGTTATGTTTTATGTGTAGTACCAAAATGTTTTTTCATATGGGTCAATATATTTGAAATCACCCATTTTGAAATAATTTTGTTGCTGGACATTTTTGATTTTTATAATTATTTGACCAGTTATTCTATGTTTATTTGAGAGTTCAAAATCATAGTTAAATAATTTTTAAAGCTCACAGTTTTGCAGCGCTAAATGTTTCGTTTTCTGTTAATTTTAGTTTTATAGTTGTAAATTTTTTAACAACTTTCCACACTACTTATGAGATAATTTTAGTTTTTGTTTTGTTTTGATATCTGCAAAAATGTCGCAATTGGAGAAGGTAGAATAAGCTCACTAGGCAGCCATATTTATTGCGCTATAACTAATAGAACCAGTTGAGTATCAATAATAAAATTCGTATCACATGTTCCTGTCATTAAGAGGTAAAAACTGTATCAATTTCATAATTTTTCACTCAGTTTCTTTTATGATATAAAAATATAAAAAATCGCAGAAAACTACTTTTAAGCGTTTTTGAAAATTCATATTTAAAAAAGGACAATATTTTGAAGATTGAAGTTTTATCAGCAAGTAGTAGTGCACTGATAGGCCTACATACGAAACAAAAAATAAAGTTTAGACTCTTTTCTTTATTACACTTATGCAGCGCTCAAAATCTCGTTTTATAATTAGTTTCATGAATTTTTTAAACCACTTTCCTTTCTTTTTAGGTGATATATCGATACACAGAAATATAAAAAAAAAATACTCTAAATTATTTCAGTTTTTATTTTGGTTTGATATCTAGAAAATAACCTGAGTTACAGGCATTCTCAAAACATGTTTTTTGGTAAAAAAGATAATTAAAAATGGCTGCCGAGAAAAAACTGTGAGCCTTAAAATTTTTTTAATTATGGTTTTGAAGGCTCAAATAAATATGGTATAACTGGTAAAAAAAATGTCAAGTAACATGGTCTGGGTGAATTCAAATGGACCCATAACAGTCGTTGCAATAGAATATTATATTTACCCAATGATAACTTTGACTGCCCTAACAATGAAAATAGAACTTCCTAGAAACTCGTTAAAAGGCTGAGATAGCCCTTTGAAGATGGGCACACAATGGAGGAAAGATCTAAGGGCCATGGGCCGGGCAAGATTAAAGGTTCTGCTGCATTAGGTAAGTAATTTATGTCCTTTCAGCCCTGGTCAAGCCTTCCTTGCATAGGGAGCTCTTGAAGCCATTGTGGATTTGTCACTATAAAGTAGAAATAATAATAGTAACCTCCAGAATTTCAGTTTGGGGGAGGGTACTTTAGCACGGAAGATTTTTTTTAAAATATAACGATAATTACTTTGGAAGAGAAAGAAAAAAAAGTAACTACCTATGCTAAATGGTGTTTAAGTGATTTTTGAAATCCTATTAAATGTAATTAAACGAACAATAATACTTTTAGAGATTATTTTTTTCATAAGACATGGTAATATTTTACCATTTTGGAAGTGGGGAGGGCTTCATCCCTAAAGGTCCTTCCCCCTCCCCTCCGTAGATCCGCTTGTGATCCTTAAAATATAATGAGTATATATGATTTTAACCTTAACTTAGTTGATTGAGGATGGAGGTACAAACTAGTAGTTTTTGGTACAGTCACTTTTTCTTATCAAATTACTAACATCCGCCTAAAACTTCACAAATAGCTTATTGTAACCTACAAATATTTTATTTACGAAAACTCTCAGAATTGGAGTGTTTTCAATCGGAGATCGCCAATCTTTGTCTATTTAATAAGGTATTAAAACTTCGTTAATATCCATTTGCTCTCCACTTGAATCGTAAGATAATTTGAGCACAAACTCAGAAAAAAACAGGTGGCCTCAAAAATATTGAGCCTTTTTTTGAGACCTACATCCCCAAAATGTCAAAATAACGAGGTATTATAGGCAAAACGGCACAATATTGTTGTAGGCCACCTTTCTTCTCGATTTCATGATCAAATTATTTTAAGATTCAAATGGGTATATACGAGTTTTAGTACTTAATTAAATAAACAAAATTTGACGATCTCCAGATTGAAAATGCTATTATTTCAATAATTTCCATAAATAAAATATTTGTAGGTTACGATGAGATAAAGCTTTTTACGAAGTTTGAGACTTCGAAGGTTTTTACGAAGTTAATGCTAATAATTTGATAAAAATTGGTCTGTACCACTTGTTACGAATATATCTCTTAGTGACTAAAAGAAATGGTAGTAATAAAAAGATAGGAATAACGATTGTTGCAGTATCACAGTATCCTAACGACACCCTCATCTTAGACAGATTATCGTACAAATCATGAAGGTCTCAGGTTCAGTGTTGTGTTTGAAATCGCACCACAGTGCATTACTCACTTAGGGATCTCATCAGATTTGCTATCAGTAATAAATAAAAAAAAAAGTTGTCTTAAATACAGGTTGCGATAACCACTCTATTCAATCTCACTTGAGTTACAAGTTCAAATCTGATTTGTACAGTTTTTTCTGTACCCATTTAATAAATTTCCTCCATTCTCGGTATAGTACACATGGATGGTTCAACTTATGGACGGTTTAAGTTTAACAAACTGTATTATTGGTATAGCAATGAAAATTTGATTATTAAATCAAACATCACATATGTTTACATATGTGGCAAACATCGTATATCTTTCTGTTTAAATAATAAGCTTTACCCTCAATTATCGATTATAATAAATTGCAAATAAAAAAATATATAAATACAGTGTCCGTCATCAGGTTAAATTCTATTTGTAGCTAATAATTCATTTATTTATTTTTTCTATTTGAATAATATAAGTCTAATAAATATTTTTCGGTAGAAAGGCGTCGATTTTGGGAACCAAAGTATCTCAATAAGGCAGTATTCTCCTGTGCGCTCTGTTTCTGGTTCGATTCTGGCAGTCATAGATATTTATTGTGGCGTAAATGCGGTGTATACCAGCCTTAAATCGACCTGGTGCTCGAAAATCTTCCTGGAGCAAACCCAGCCACTCTTAATTAAATAATTAATTAAAGGTGGAAATTTGGCGGTTGAACGTGATCTAGGTCAAATCAGCTTTTACCAAGTAATAGTCAGTACTTCCTTACAAAGTACCGAACTCAAAACACTTAGTAATTACTGATCTTTTTTTAGTTTATTTTTTTCTCCTTGTATCATTCAGATGTTTGTTTTTATTTCTGTATTTACTTACCATATTCAAAATAAAATATTCTGTGATGCATATTTATTTATTATAGTACTAACACATCGATTAAACTAAAATTAAAATTAATTCCGTTGTATTTCTTCTTATGAGGGATTGAAACATTTATATATTACTTTTCTACCCTATACTAGGTAAGGAAAGTATTGCGATAGAGTCAAATTTTCGATATGCGGTTTTGACGGATCTGTATGTTTCAGAGCCCCTAAGAAAAACAGCCTGTTTGAAATTCCCTGCAAAACTATATAAAAATCGTACATTTCGGACAACTATTAATTATTAACTGTCAGAAAGAGGTGAATGAGAGATTTTTTGATTTTTTTAGAAGAAGGACACACTACATTTTTGTTGTTGTTTCTTAATGGACATATTTAAAGATATAAAAAATTATAAAATATGTAGGAAAGTCGTGTGAGTGGACACATCCAGATTTTTTTTTTTTTTTTATTGTTTTCCTGATGACTTCAGCGTTCAATTGCTGTAGATGCAACGAAGATATACATTTAGTTCGCGAACATGCTTCATGCACACTGAAATAATTGGCTATTAAATTGTTGTCGATATATGTTTGTTTAGATACTCGGTATAAAATACGGTTTTTCTAGCCGCTGATATTTTCGGTCGGTTGGGCTGTGAACGAACCGTTGCCATTAAGCCTAGCGCTATCGGTGCGATAAAGGGATAGTCTCCCAGGAAACTGATAAGTCGGCGGATTTTACTAACTTTGCTATTTATATATTTATTTAACCATATCTCTTGTACTTGTTTGTTCATATTTTTTGTAAATATTTTATTTAAAACAGTGCCTGGTCAGTATTATAAATTAATAAGGAGTTTAATAAACACATTTCTATCAAGAATTGTTTATTAGAAGATACCGACGGTTTATAGCAATAAGTCAGTAGTAAGTAACATTTTAAATAATTTCAGATAGTTGAATTTGAAGTTTCTGATTCACTAAAAAAAATACTAAAATATCAATTTGATAATTTTTCTTTATTTGAAATTCTAAATAATCGTTCATTATCCGATCCTCATCCCTATGGAACTCCATCCCTTCCCACATCCGTCAATCCAATACCCTTCCTACCTTTAAATCCCGCCTGTTCAATCATTTCTTATCCATCCAGTCCCCATAAAAATTGTAAATAGATACTACTGTAAATATGTATATAAATTATTAGATCGTTGTTCATTATTTTTACTTCATGTTTTTTTTTTTCAATTTTTATTATTAACTCATTGAAATTAGAAAGTAACTTATATTTTTTTACTCTGTATTTCTATTTTTGTATCTCTGAATCTCCTTAGCCCACATTTCTCTCTTTCTGTATTATTCTAAAGGAACTCGTCCCACAATAAATAAAGTATTATTAAATATCCGGTCTAGCAAAGGCAAAAATAAATAACATACATTTTGTTTGAAATTATACAAAATATTTTTTTTCTAGACTCCTAGGGCCTATTCGGAAGAACGCCCAGATACATGTCTAATATTTTCTAATGTAGTTCCATTTTTTTTTTTTTTTTTTGATGATATTTACAACTGTATTAAATAAATACATCTAGTAAATTTGAACATAAGGATATAATGACATGAAAACAATTGCTGAGTAACTACCCAATGGTAGCACTCTAATGATATATCTACAGTAGGAGATCACGGAGCCATCTTCTTTTCAGACGCCTCGGAGGGTTATCAGGAATTGAAGAGGAAGCAATGTTAGGAACGAGAGGGTTGGGATGATTCTGAAGTTTATTATGGAAGGATAGGTATATGGATCGAGCCAGATCTGAAACATAAGGAACATTAAGGTCATTATGGATGGTTTTATTTGTAACAAAGTAGGGACCATTGAGGATTTTACGAATGATTTTGGATTGTTAGGAATGGATACGAGAGGAATTCGATGATTTGTTGGAGCCCCATAGATCAACTCCGTAAGTCCAAATAGGCCTTATTATAGTCATGTATATGAGTCTTTTGTAATTAATTGGAAGTTTCGAACGTTTGTCTAGTAAGTGCTGAAGTAATCGGAAACGTCTAGCGGTTTCTTGTCGTTTCAGTCTGGTATGTGGATAATGTAGTGCCATTAAAAAAAAAAAATAAAATATGGTTGAAATCGATGACTCACAGACTGTATTGATAATAAGTAGGAGAATTCAAACAAGGATTTTTAAACCAAATAAATAGGTCTTGATGGAGCATATGTTCACATGAGAATATGAGCATAGCTCTTATTAATTACATATTAAACAGGACCAATATAAAAGCTAATCACTTGTTAAGAATATTGTAAGTTTAATATTCGTGGTAAAATATGAAACTTCTCTAATTATGCTTGTTAGATAGTCTTGATATTAATATATTATATGCATATACGAATAAACATGTTTCACTGGTATCGCTTATAAGTTATGTTGAATGCAATATATACAGTTAATCATTATTATATACAATGTACTAGTAAATAAATAAAAACTTTTCTTCTATCTCACAAAAAAGTTCTCTTTCTAATATTGGGATATGATTGGGTCGTCTTCCGGCCAGAACAGATGTGTCTTCAGAAACAATATCTATTCTTAGTGCGCGGTAGAGACCCCTTTTTATCATTATCCTCATTCATCTTATTGTATACAACTTTTTTATTCATGAAAATTTTCCGACGTTTTCAATCAGAGGATTGGTAAACATAGTCTATTTAATGAGATAATAATAACTTATGAACACCCATTTGCTTTCCACCTGAATCATAAGATAATTTGATCACAAAATTTAGAAAAGAAGGTGACCTATAATAATATTGGCTTCTTTGGCGTGACCTCAAACTTAACCCCAAAATAACAAGGAAATGTAGGCCAAGTGTCCCAAAATTTTTGTAAGCCACCTTTTTTCATGAGTCGTTAGTACTTCATCAAGTTAATTAATTCTATGATAAAATAGTAGATAGATAAAAAAGTTGTAGTGTACGATAAGATAAGCATAGGCGTAGAATTTCCATTTAGGAAGAAGCAAGAAAAAAGAGCAGTAGATCTTTTTATGTGAAAATTCAATATAATTATTGTGAAACGAGCATATATATATATATATATATATATATATTTGTTTGGAAGTTGTAGAATTTTTTATGTTCATATAGAAAATATCTGAACAAAATAATTGGATTTATTACAATTTGTATACATTAAACATGGAAGGAAAGGGCCTCCACAATATAGATACATTTCTATAACTTTTCAGCTAAAAATAAATAATGCTAAAAAACAGAAAAAAATTTGATTATTTGTTAGTTTATACAACTTACAAATAAAAATATAATGTTTTCCCAGTCTAAATAGTTATGTAAAAAGGTATATAGAAATATACTCTATAAAATATAAATGAAGTTGATTCTTCCCCACTCCAGGAAAATATCATTTTTTTAAAGTGATAAAGAATAATGAATAATGTTAAAATTGCTTCTTAGCGAATCCGAAGGTTCGATACCGACACCACCAATCTCTTATTACAGACCTACCTCCACCGTTCGTCATCCAAGTCCCTTCAGATCGGCTTTATCTTCCCATTTCGCTTCGGCCTACCTCTCGGACGTTTACCATTCGGTACAACAAATATCAACCTTTTAGAAATTCTTTCGTTACTAAGTCCAACAATTTTACAAGCCCTTTTGATTAGCCGCGATGTAATCACCTCAATTATATTGAAAATATACTTATACTTATTAAATATATTTTTCCAAATTTATCTTAGAATATTTATAAGAAAACACATGGAAATAGAGGTGTACACATGTGAGGTGAATGAAACATAAAATTCTAGGAAATGTTTCTATAATTTAAATATAGGAGCATTTAGGTCGTGATATAATAGTTACGTTCCTACTTATAGTCCTTAGTCTAGCTATTTGAATTTTCTTAATCGATTTCACTTTATATATTTTATTCATTCATGTCTTATTTGTTATAAATTTTATTTTATTTTTTTACTTTAAATTATTGCGGGGAAGGGCAAAACAATATTCTTACCCCCTCAACAATTTTATTGGGGAGGAGGGGGGCAAATGCCACCACCATAGTCTGCGCCTATGAGATAAAGCCATTCATGAAATATTAGACGGATGTTCATAATTTGATAAAAAAATCTGGTGTGTCCACTCACACGACTTTCCTACCTATTTCAGAAACATCTTTATGTCTTTACATATGTCCATCACGGAACAAAAATCAATTGAATTAGATCTGCTTTCCTGAAAATTGATCAATGAAAAGATTTGAGTACGATTTATTTGATAAACTAAAGCAATATAAATCGGCTTAAGGTAGATTAGTGTACAATTTTCAATACCCTCTAATATTGCTGATCAAAGACTCTTTGCCATAACTTAATTTTGTCAAACAATAATTTCTGTTAAAAGTAAAGGAAATAGTGAAGCTTGTGTGATGCGGGCTACAGATTTTCATATTTCACTTAGTTATCTTTTTTCTCTCATCCACCCCTTTCTGAAACCAGGATAAGAACTCGTAATCTTACATTGGGAATTAAATAGCTACAACTTCGTTAATAGTTGAATGAACGATTTTTGTATAGTTTTGTAGGAAAATTCATTACCATAGATCCGAGATCCGTCGAAAATCGCATATCAGAAATTTTACCCGATCGCAAAACTTTCCTTACCTACCTAGTATAGGTAGGAAAGTAAAAAAGGGATCTGTACTGCCAATTATCTGGTCAAAGGTTGACATTTTGAATTTTGAATTTCTTTTCCGTAAGAAATATACTGCTTTACTTGGATCACTTTGGATACTTCAGACACTTCGCTGGGCTGTGAGCCATGGGTGATATCTTCGGGGTGCCATCCTCGGAATATTCGACGGTGAAAGCCGATAGTGGGGTGTCGGGTGGCGCAGCTGGGCGGGCACTTCCTCCCCAGCTGATCCTCTTCCTGTCCTGTCGAGTGTCCTTCCTCAGGATGATCCTGTATTATCGATGGAGATAGGCTCCAATGGATCTGCATCCTTTCCACGCTGGAACTGTATCACAATGGAAGTATAGTTTTGTACCTGGAGAAAAAAGTCAGGTGTGAGAAGGATCTATGTTACATAACCATGTTCAAACAGTTTAAAATCATGTTGATGTTACCAGACTTGCAACGGTCCTGTTGAACTTCAAATAGACTATTGGAAAAATTAAATCTTAAGTGCCAAAATGTTATATTTTTCATACCATTATTTTCATCTATATTGTTACAGTATAATTAAAATATTAAATATATTTTATAAATTATGAATAATAAATTTGTAGTTTATTGTTTGTTTAACAAAATTTATTTTTATTTTTCAGGTGAGTATCTTTTGGATATGATAGTGGATATATAGGTGCATGGGTATGTCATGATTTATTATTTATTTTTATATATCTGTATTTTATGTTTGTTATTTCATTCAAAATTTCGTAGTTATGGGTTTAAATAGAATCGTTTAAAAGTTTATGAATTTTTTTTTCACATTCAACAGAGTGAGAAGAGAAAATTATATTATATACTTTTAACTATTATTATCATAATTAGTTTAGATGATAATTTTACTGGACGTCCATTTCAGTGTTTGAGTTGATTCTTCGGTGTTCATTTATTGGTTTATATTATACTTTTTATCGAAGTTTCGAGCCTTTTTTTTTTTATCTTCAAAATATTCAAATTATTACATTACAGATTAATCTGTTGCTCATTTATAAATATTAACCAATAATTGCAGTTTTACAATTAATAATTTTATCTTAATATATTTTTAAATTTTTAAATTTACTCTTAATTTGTTGTCGTCATGTGCGCATTTTGTAAATATGTTATCAATTCTAACAGTCAAATATAAGAAATTTCCATATTGTGGGCTATCTAAACTACATGTTACTAATTTTATTTGTTTTAATTTTAATTAAATTCGTTCTCATTTGTTGAAGTTTATATTTATAAATGTGCAATATATTCGACAATTCTGAAGTGGAGGAAAAAAATTCCTTAAATGTAGATAAAAATTGTGACACAACAATCAAGAAATAAGAATGATTTAGTTCATTACAAAAATTAATGATGATTTACTAACATATATATATATGTATATATTTTTTTAAATAATAATATTAATATTATAAAATATTAATTATATAATTATGCATTTGTAAAGTAGAAATGATATATTATGTAGTTACAAAGCTTTAGTAATATTGAGGTCCTTGTTTAGGAGGGATGGTGTGGAAAGGTATCGACTGCCTTGCACAGTGGTGTGGTTAGAAATTTTCGCATACTTCACGAACTCTATATGAACTTGCAAAGTTTGATGAAGCTCTATCTATGCTAAATACATAATATATACGGATAATACGCAGCAAATATATCTAATAATATACGATATACATTTCGATACTTATTTCGAGAAGAATAACATAATAGGAACTTATATTAATGAAGAATCTATCCCTTGGTAACACTTCAATGATTACATTAATTTAGTAGGTTCCTCGACCATAATTTCAGACATCTCCGAGGATTGTCAGGAATCGTTTTGGATGAAAGGTTTACCAAAGATGAAAGGTTGACCAAAGAGTTATATCTGATTCGGGATAAACAGGCAACAAAGGGAGTACTGAAGTTTTTATATATAATTGCATTTGTTACATAATAAGGAGCATTAAGGATTCTATGGTGGATTTTGGATTTTAGGGATTGGATAGAAAAAGAATTCAACTGTTTTGTAGAGTGTCGAAAACCAAATGATAACGAGTTTTACTGAAGATATGGATTAAAATATCTCAGCAAATTAAAAATCAGTCCTATATAATATAAGCGAAGGAAATTGTTGCATAATTTCATGTAATGAGCTATAAATTGTAAATGTTATTATTTTGTAAATATAGTACAAAAAATAGCTTATACACAACTATAATTATCTGATATTGTAAATTGTATTACTTTGTGAATTTAGAACTAAGAAAAATTTATATTTCATATTATAAATCTCGCTTTACTGATGTTTTCAATTCTATCGTGTGGTCCAAAATGAAAATTGAGAAAAAAAGGTCAAGTAAAATATTAGGCCTTTTGGACTGTATAACCTCATTATTTTCAAATGCTGGGTTGGGGTTTGTGATCACTTGCCGCGTTTTTCCATTGTAGTGGTTGAACATGTGAACTATATTCTCTTGAAACGTCCCCAAAATTTAGTTAACCTGAATATAATTTAATATAAATATATATCTATATATATATTACCTTGTGGTATAAGGTTAAGTCATAAAGAATTATTAGTGAAGAAATAGGATTATTTTTAGATTTTTCTTCTTCTGGAGATGAAACGTATTCACACCCTCTAATTGTCTGTGATTCCAAACACTCGACGCTAGAGTGCTTGCTACAAATGTCAACACTCAAGGACTCTTTGGCTTAGTTAGGAGTTGTTCATCACTTATCTTTTCTTTTTCCTTTTAATGGACGCGGTTATCCTAAATTATTCTGTTTAGTAATTTTTTTACCTGTCTACATTTTTACAATTATATAATAGGAAGAAGTGATGATCTTTCTGTTCTTCCATATTGTTATTACAAATTATTTTTAACTTAAATAAATTATATAATTCGAATTCAGCTTCCATTTCTTCCTCGATATAAGTTAAATACTTTTTTAGCGAGACATGGAAGAATTTCCAAATATATGCTATATAACCTAAATTACACAGTTAATTTTTTATTTTTAAGAAAATTTATTTATTTATTTAATGAAATTTATAACTGTATAAACAATACAACTAGTAAAAATGCACACATTAGAAATCATGGCATGAATAGACTTGAAGTGATACTGCCCAGTGGTAGCACTCCCTTTTTAAGAAAATACAGAGAATTAGAGAAAATCAGCAGACTGTGTAAAATTGTTAAGATATTTTATGCATTATATCGTTACTGTTAATGCAAAAGGTCGTATATGAAAATTGTGTTTTTAAACAAGGAAGCATAAATAAATACTCATTATTTTTTTTATTAGTATAATTTCATATTTTATTTCTCTCTACAATTTTTCATTGTAGCAGACTACTTATATCATTTGCAGATTACAAAATGTCACCCTTAACACAAATAGAATAAAAATAAAAATTGTTTTCATACGACGTTTTGAACTTACAGTAACGAAATTAAATATGAGCTGTTTATAATCTTTCTTAATATTTAATATTTTTCCTTCTCTTTCCCTAGAATAAATAAAAAAGTTAATTCATCTAAAGACTCTCTCGAAAAGTTGTGGCCTTTTTTATGAAAAATTTCCTCCTATTTCTTTTTCCGTCAAATAAAGTACTTACCCAGTTTTAAAATCTCTTATTTTTTTCGACGTTTCCTTTTATGAATTTTCTGCTAGGTTATGACCTCTATTAAATTTTGACTGAATAAAGTAAATTTTAATAGTTAATTTGTTCTTAAATTTTCTCTTAAACAACCTTATTTTAGTGGCATCTTCATTTATAATTATCATTTTTTTTTATTTGCTTTTATTTAACGTCGCTTCGACTTCTGAGGCCATTAGCGACAACTTCTTAAATAGAATGAATCAATTTTGTTGATTTTTGAGCATTAAACGTTTTTTTTTTTCAATGCCACTTCTTCCTTAAAACAGTTGTACGTCTTCATTTTGAATTTATTTTGTTCTTTTTGATATTTTTTACAGTGCGCCGTAAGATGTTCATTGACACATGTTTGACTTTTGGTATGTCCAATCCTCTATTTCAAAGAACTATATAATATACTACTCATTGGCAGTACTTCCAGATAATAATTTCTCTAAAGTTACCCCATATATTATATACTAAATAAAAATATTTTTTCTTGTTAAAAACATATTTTATTTGTGGAAATATAGTTATGGGAATGTTATGTTCTTCTTAAAACTTAATCTGTTATTGATTAAATGTAGTAATTATAGTTTTACTTCAGAGAAGAATTTGAGGGGATGAGCTCCCGTTCCTCTCAATATTTCTAAGTCCTAACTATTATTTTTGAACACTGCAAAATTTTTCGTGGAAAACTTACAACGAAACAACGAACCCTCTGTTTAAGTGGGTCTTGGCAGGTATAGCGTTGCGTAGAAGATCTTGCCCAGGATAGGAGTAGCCGATTTCGGTCTATTGGTCGTATCTTAAGCTTGGGATGTAAATATTGAGAACTTTGTTTAACATATTAAAATAATAATTCGATATACAAAAAAAATATCGATGTATCTGGCTTGAATATTTTTAATCTTTAAACAGTAACTAGGACTTCACCTGAACAAACGTCTAACTTGGAATCCTCATACCAGACTGAAACGAGAAGAAACAGCCCGACGTTTCTGACTACTTCAACACTTACTAGACAAACGCTCTAACCTTCCAGTTAATTACAAAATACTCATTTACTTGATTATAAGGCCTATTTGGACTTACGGAGTTGAGCTATGGGGCTCCACCAAACCTTCAAATTTCTCTCGTATCCAATCCTTACAATCTAAAATCCTTCGTAAAATCCTCAATGCTGCTTACATTGTTACAAATAAAATCATCCACAATGACCTTAATGTTCCTTATGTATCAGATTTGGGCCCAATTCAGATATCTTCCATAGTAAACTTCATAACCATTCCAACCCTACTGTTTCTAACCTTGCTTTCTATTAAATTGCTGATAACCCTCCTGAAAAGAAGATTGCCACGTGATCTCCTAATATAGACATATTATTAGAGTGCTACCAATGTGTATCATGTCATTATATCCATGGCGAATTTACTAGATGTATTTTTTTTTATACAGTTGTAAATATCATATAAATAAAATAAAAAATCTTTAAACATTAGGAGGTGTAAGTATCGGATTGTTGATATAAAAAATCGTTAATTCACGCATCGATTTTTTAATTGTAAAAAGAAGGGAATAGCATTGAAGTATTAGATTTGTAATAACTTTAATAACAACAATTAAATATTAACATATTACAATATTACTTGTCACAAAAAAGTATAGTTTATTGAATTTTATAGTTAATAGTTCTAAAATTTTCTAAAAAAATATTGTTTTAAATAGTAAAATTTCAGTATCGATATTCATATCAGACAAAAATTCTACATGTGTATATCGATGTATTGATATTTTTCTAAATCTTGAACCATGTCCGCAACTATCGGAGTCATTTCCATCGTGTCATCCTTTGTTTTCTTGGTAGTACAAGCTCTGGAGCCAGGGCTTAAAAAGGGAACTCATAGTTGGATGTATGCTATTATAATAAAATGAACCTTGTCTGACATTCTGCTACCATATTAGTTTTCGCTGTATGTCCCCTTTTTGATCCTCAAGTTACTGGCCTAATATTCTTTAAATCAGCTGCTATTTTTAACCACAGATTTTAAGGAGTGAGGTGTTCATCGCTCCCCCCCCCCAATAAAAATAGAGAGGGGGAAGAATACCATTTCGCCTCCCCAATATTTCGAATAACAAAAATAAAAAACCTTAAAAATTATTCTATATGAATGAATAAAATATGTAAACTAAAATCAAATAAGAAAATGGGCAAAGTCGATTGGATGACTAAGCTAAGGCTTAGAAATAAATACAAAAGTATTTTACAACGCTCTTGTTTTTATTATTGAAATTTTAGCTTATATACAAAGATGTAGCAACATATCCAAGGATTTTATAATTTATTCAGGTGCACTCTTCCATTTTTTATTATATTTTATCAAATTTCCCGCGTCAGATTTGAAGCATCCGAGAATTGAGGGTTCATCTCACTATCTTAAATCTTTAAATATAAACGTGTAATATATTCAGTTATTTTGTATATATATATATATATATATATATATATATATATATATATATATTGAACTATACACAAACAAAAAAATATATATATGTAGCGGCTCTGGATTGGCAAACAAAATTCATTTTACTTAAAATAACATATGTATTTGTAATTTACATTTAAACCTTCTCCTGTTATGCAATTATTTGTCTATAAAATAACAAAACTTAAATATTACATATAAAAATACATAATAAAATAATTATAATAATTGTTAAACAAATCAAAATTTCATAAAAATATAATTTGAGCCTTGGGGATCCACCAAACTATCGAATTCCTATTATATCCATTCTTTACAATCCAAAATCCTTCGTTAAATTCGTAATACTCCATATTTTGTCACAAATAAAACCATTTATAAAAACCTTAATGTTTCATATGTCGCTGATCTATCCTTTCATGATGAACTCCAGTCCCATCCGAATCCACTTGTTTCCAGCCTTACTTCTTCCTCGATTCCTAATAATCCTTCTAGGATCTGAAAAGATGTCCTCGTGATCTTCTTACTTAGAACTATTTAAGGAGTGCTACCACTGGGTAGTATCTAGACCATTCTGTTCATGTTATTATTTCTAATTTGTTACTAGATGTTATTCTAACATGTTATTTTTACTGGTTGTATTTATTTAATACAATTTTAAATTTGATTAAATAAACAAAAAATATCTAATTAAGGATACATTATTAGTTTTTTTTGCGAGGTATATTGTTGATCGAACATAACGTAAAACCTCATAGTCCTGGAGCCAGATCCCAAAAATCGACCTCATCGCAGACGAAGGTTTGACTATAAATTACGAAGGGTATGTTATTCTGAGTAAAAAGAACCTTCTTTGCCGTTCCAGAGCCGCTGCTTAAAAAAATGACGGCTGATTTAAAGAATTTTAAGCCAGTAATTTGAGGATCGAAACCGTTAAGAAAAATTGCTAACGCGGGCCACCAAGGGAAAACTTTTTACATCCGACAAAGTAAAAAAAATCTTTATTTTTTCGTTTTTTTTACCTATAACTCCTAAATGGAAAAATGTATGTTTTAATAAATTAAAGAACGTTAAATTGTGCATGGAACGAGTACATACATTTTATAATTTGGTAAGGTATAAAACCATGGCTCTGTAACTTGGAAATAAATTCCCTAGAAGGAAAAACCCATAGAATCAAAGTTGTAGAGTATCAAATTTTGCATCTGCTGAGTACTAACATTTACATTGTTATATATCTCAATTATATATCTCGAATCCGGGATTCGTTATTCCTTTATGAAATGCAGTATCTTTCGACACGTAGTTTACCATAACCCTTTGCTGTTGAGAAGTGGAAAAGAGCCTTATACACCATGTAACAGGCTCTAAACAAAACAATAAGTCAGTAGAAGAGACCCCCATAAATATAGGAAATCACGTTTATCTTAATTTTCAATTTCTAGCCATTGACCGATTTTGTTCGGAGTAAGTGAACTACATTAAATTAGTTGGTACTCATTTAACGTAAAATTTGATGCTCTACAACTTTTATTCTATAGGTTTTAGAATGACTAAGTTCAATTTTAACATTTTTGATTATTAATTTTAGTGGTATTTTTAGTGGAAAAATGTAGACCTTTATTCAAAGTTACATATATTTCAAGACTACGATTACTATTCTGAAATCAACTTGCTCACTGTATGTACAGATATTATAAATTTTTGCAACTAGAAATATCAATAAAATGACTTTACTCAAAACTATTGAAATACGAGAACAACTCCTTTAGATATTCTATATATTCTGAATCTAAATGTAGTGTGAGATAGAGCTATTAGGGAGTTGGAGCATTCTTGTTATTGGTGATGGATCTGTTGGCTTTTCCATTCCTCCAGGCCAGGTTTCCCTCCATGATCCATTGCAAGCTGGAGAAGAGTGCCCGCTGGAGATATTTCTGCTGGAGGCAATATAGGGCCAGTAATCCCGATGAACCCCTCATTGCCTGCAGCTGCTCTATTGTGCCTCCCCTACTAGTTCTGCCCTCTCCCCTGTTCGCATCGGAGCACATATAGCTTCTCGATAACTTCTATAAGTCTCTGTCATGGGATTTCTCCGTCATAGTCTGCCTTTTAATAATCCTACTTATTAAATGGCGTTGATATATTACTCTGCCTAAGTTTGAGATACAGAAATATTCTATCTAAAAATACCAAACATTTATTAAGCGTAACTCCTAAAAATTTAGGTAGTTTTTGAAACCTAGCCAATCATAAAAAGGTGAGGTCCGTTAAATTACTTGCACTAAATAGGAATTTCCTTGTTCTACATTCTTCCTAAAATTCGATTTTTATCTCCCATAAAAACCTCGTTTTTATTATTTTTTATTTTCTGGATTAACTTAGAGCTATGTTTTATAATCACATTGATCCAAATCTTTTCATAATTTATCCAGAAAAAAAAAATCAGCGATAAATACCTATAAATTTATATTTAATAGTTGACCGTTACGTTATAAAGGAAGGAGATGGTCCGGGGTGGCGGTCATAAATAGGTTAAATAGTGATAAAACTATTTTATTAAAAGCCAACATTTCGACCCGATTTTGCAGATCTTCTTCAGGGCTAGAACGGACAAGATACAAAAAGATATAAAGAATTGTGTAAGTTGCATAATATATAGACAAAAATTATAAACAATGTGAATAAGCTTATTAAAATTATAAATAGTAAGTACATAAAAATATAAGCAGAGTAAGCTAAGTAACAAGTTCCAAAACTGAAGTAAATAGATGATAACAATTGTTGTAGTGTAATATATAATATATGCAAATGTGAATATACTTCTACAGATATATAGGAGATATTGAAAGAAAAGGAAAAAGGTTATAATATGAAATAATAGACAAAAAGGAATGTGGAGAAAGAAAAAAGTTCTAGCCCTGAAGAAGACCTGCAAAGTCGCGTCGAAACGTTGGCTTTTAATAAAATAGTTTTTCCACTATTGAGCCTATTTATGACCGCCACGCCGGACTATCTTCCTTTACCTATAAATTTAGTTTACCTCATTTAGATATACAAATACACTTAATACAACAAAAAGTTGAAATTCATACAATACTATTAGCTACTAAATATTGAACTATTAGCTTACGTTTAATTGCAGACATTGTTGAAGGTGTTCTAATTAAGTATGTAAATATCTATATTTAGATATAAATATCGAAACCTTACATTTTTATTACCTTTAACAGCAAATCAATTTGATATTGTAGGCATCAAAGGACGATTAAATAATATTAAAAATAAATAATACTAACATTAAAATGTTAATTTGGTAGATAAGTAAACAAAAAATATATAAATATATATAACAGAATTAATACATAGATAAGCCTATAAATAAAAAATAATATTAAACTGATAATAAATATAAAAATTAATAAGCAAACTATATAAATAGAGAAATAAATATAAGAAAAAGAAATAGACCAAAACTAATTAAATACAAAATAAATAGTATAAAAAACATACAAGGGAATATTTAGAAAGAACAACAAATAAAAGAAAAAAATATAGGAGAAAACAAACAGAGTTATTATTATATCTCTTTTATTAAAAGTGTGCTAATAAGAAATGATATTATTTTATTGGATCTGTTGTTGTCATTCCCCAATATATATATATATATATATATATATATATATATATATATATATATATATATATATATATATATATATATATATATTGTATTCAACGCTTATTTGATTTCTGTCAACAAAAGAAAAATTATCTAAAAATATCATTTATTCCTAAGCAAACCTCATTTGGAAATACAAATACTCATAATGCAACAAAAGGTTAATCAGAATTCATACAACATAATGAGAAAATGTTGAACTAAAAGCTTATTTTTCATTATAGGCGTTGTTTAAACAATTTTTAATTAGGTTTATTATGTTCTAATTTCCGAAAAAAAATTTATTTTTGATAGACGGTTTAACATTCATTCATTGAATTGAAATCTTAGATTTTTATTAGCTTTAAAAGCAAAACAATAAAATATTTCTATATTTATGATATATTATAAAATATTTGATCAATTGATATTTTTGTCAAAAGAGTAAACGGCAGCAATTTATTTCTAGGAACAATAAAAAAAAATAAATAAATAAAAAGGATAGATCCTTTAGAGAACATCAATGAGAATAATATTTAAATTATATTAAAAACTGCTTAGTAACACACCGATATTCTGAGTTTAATCAAAATCGTTAGTTCCGTTTTTGCGAAAATCGTAAAAATGTGTTAAATCGATTATATAAAGTACCACTTTCGGTTTGCAGATGTTGACGAAAATGTTGCTGTAACATCTAAGGATTATAAAAACCTCAAATACGCAATTTCAGTTTCGTACGGTTTTCGTTTTTGAATACATACTCACACACAGACCATTTTGCGGGACTTGGTTATTCGGACTCAGGGAACCTCAAAACGCGTATTTCGGTTAAAAATTGAGGTTCATAAATTTACTTACGATACTTACTCTTACTATGTATTACATTTATAGGCAAGTGAAAGTTATAAAATATGACATACACTAAAAGTTTTTTTATAGAAAAGAGAAATAATAGATAACCATCGTTAGCCATTAACAAAAACCTTAAAAATATATATATTTAAATTCTTTTGTATTGTATTTTTAATATTTCATAAATATTCCATCATCGTTAAATAATTTTATCGTAACAGAAGAGTAGCATTTGTTGTATAATCTAATAGATAAGATACAGTTCATTGACAGACTTTAGTAGATTTCTGTCAATGAGTAATAAATGTCCAAAGACTTAATCTTCTTAAGGTTGAGAATGGGCAAGTATATCGATTACTGTAACGAGAATCACTGTACAGGTTCAATAGCGTTTGAGAATTTGTTTTCTGTTACCATGCCTTATTAGGTTTATAAAACATGCCATATAACAAAATCTATGTTTATCTTCTGATAATATTGTTATATTGTGTTTGAAGAATGTTGGCTGAAAATATTTTCTTTGTTAGTCATTTGGTAAACAGTAATCCTACTGTAGATAAGGTTGGGTTTTTCACTATCAGTATTCCGGAAGCACATTGACCTTTGAAAGTTTTTCATTCCTAAAATGTAAATAATATATTGTCTCTTTCTTTGTAATACTTTAAAGTTTTATATTTGTATTAACTCGTTGTATTTTTTTACATCCTATAAACATGCGAATCGACGGATACATCACTAACTAACTGAACCACGTGGTATTGTACATATTGTATAAATATATGAGATATACAGTATATATCTCTTTGAAATAAGTATGTATTGAATAAAGGAGCTGTAACACCTTTTAATAAATATACTGCATGGGATATAAAGATAAAACTATTCTCATAGCAAGTATTAAAAAGATCATATTTTTTTATTTGTTATATAATCATACTTTTAACGGTCGAATCACGCGAATTTTATCCGACCATAACTCTAGGACTGTAGCGGTAGATAAAACTCTTTAAATTATTAATTAAGTTTTAATGTGCTGATCTGGTTAATGGTGGGCCCTCTAACAATATGGCTGAATTTAATGAAACCATATTGCAACTTTTATCCTATACTTAATTACAACATGAATTCTTGTTTTTTTTCTTTACCTGTTTGCTTGCCAACGCTTTTTTAATAAAATATATTCATTTTTGTATATAAATATACTTATTATTCATATGTTTTGGAGTATGAAATATTAATGTAAATTAAAACGACTCATTCATAGTTTTAAAAGGAATGATTAAAGATTTGTTCATCTTGTACCTTGTAACCTCCCTTATTTCCTCCACTTCGACCACGGCTGCTTGGTGCATGAAGGGCTATCTGCCAGGCTAAAAATGATATTAAAAAAGCTCATGAAGTGGTTCATAAGATACATATTTGGGATCCTCAAGCCTTCCCTTGTTTCGTTCAGGTACACCGAGTTGAAGTGGTTTTATCCTACTTCCCGACGACAATTCCTCCTTGGTGTTTTCCTTTTCCAAGTCCTCAGAACCAAAATCCCTCCATACGTCATGGAACTCCTTACTCTACGATCCTCTATTCACTCTTCTAATAGCAGGTCTCTATCTATAGATTTATATATTTCCACCCATAAAACTACTTCCTTCAGCAAATCCTTTGCCATTCGTACCTAACTCCGTACGTCAACTCCTGCTTCACCATATACTCCATATTCAAACTTCTGCAAACATGTAAAATTTACTTGCGTCACTGCACTGTTTAATTCAATTTATTGCACAATTACAAATAACAATCAACAGTTAATTAGGCATGATTTTGTATTCATATAATTATGTAACTCTGTTATTATTCTTAGGGGACTGTAGTCCCACAATAAAATTATTTTTTCATTTATTAGAATAAGATAAATGTAATGTACAACAGTATGAATAATAAGAAATATATAATATAAGAGAATACATTTTTTTTTTTTGTTGCGAAGAGGGCAATATTCAGTTGAAGAACGGTAGATCTTTCCTCATTGCAAAAGCCTGATCCAAGATTATATCCCAAGGCAGTAATATTACCTTACCTCTTCCCCTCTCGGTTAGGATTTATCATCCCTATAATAAAAACTGTCTTCACTTCGCGTTCAAATAAATTTATATTTGATAAATATAGCTTCTCAATATTATAGCATGATCTTAATGGGATGGTAAATCCATGACCTCTAGCCAATTCAATATGTTAACATACAAGCAATAAAAGCTATTAAAGCATCAGAATATAAAGCGTACTATCTATTTAACATCCTTCCAAAAGATGAATAAATAATTGAATCTTTAGGTATAAATATCATATTTCAATTTGTTATAAACATCCAGAGGATTTCTTTTTTTCTTAGGCACTGAATTTTGTAAGTGTTTAGAACTTCTCTGAGTTTTAATGAAGTTCTGACTATACGGTGCTTGATAAAGTAATAACAGATTCATTCAATGGATAGTTGACAATTTAGGTGCAAAAATCATTTTGTAAGCCAACGTTTCGACCATTTTTAGAATAAGAAGTCACTTCTTGCCCTGATAGCGATCCACATCGTTCTTTTCACTAATATCACAAAAGACGAAGAAGAGAAAAATTGAGGTTATATCATCTCACCTTTCGAATACATTAATATATACTAAATACAGTTTTGAATCAAAATGACTAGAAGAAAAGGACGATCGAAAATAGCGACTGTTCCACAAAGCTACTAAAAGATCAAAATTCGAATTAATTCAAACTTGTTTATTTTTGATCCATTTAAAACTACGTGTAGGTTTTATTAAAAAAATAAACCAACAAAATGAAGTCACTCTGTCATATTTGTGGTTTGCTGAAAGTTGTGCAGAAAATTGTTAAAATTCTTGTTTAAACCCTAAAAAATCGAATTATTTCATATCTACTCGTTTTTGACCTGAAACAAGACCCATAAATAGAATTTCCAACTTTCCCAACATTGTGATGTGCCGTGATTTTCGAAGACTAAATAAAAATTTG